GTTCAACTTGATAATCTCACCATCACTAACACGAAGATATACCTCAGTGAAGCATCGTGGAACCCTTCCTAGCTCGTATGTTTGAGAAAATGACTGTTATGGCTCCCAAAGACCGCGTCATAAGAATCTTGGCCAGAGATCAGACACGTGATATACTAGGATTGAACGATGAGATAGATTAGAGGCTGGGCGAAGTCAACGTAGCTATTTCTCGGCTTTACTTTGGTACCTTGGATACCTGTATTATCTAGGATATGTTTTCTCGGTAAAGTTAAGTGACGAATGAATTTAAATTTCTCGCTTGACAAACTCTAGATCAACCTACACCACTATCAATCGCGGTGAACCACGGTGGGTTTCTCTAAATCATTCTCGTTGAAGTGGTCAATACCGCCAGGAGAAAGGTCTTTCCCATGGCGGCCAATTTGGTGCCAAGGCAGGGAGAATAATGCATCCATTGATTCAAGACTCCTTCCTGCAGTCTCAGGAACAAAGAACCAAACCCACAGTAAGCCCAGGACGCAAACTGCAGTGCAAAAGAAAAAGAAGCCGTAATTCGTCATGGAAATGACCATGCTAGGAACAGCCTTTGTGTTGCCGAATTGGTTGGCAAAATGGATGCACATAACGAGGGATGAGCCAATGGCGCGCAGTCGACTGGGATATATTTCCGCGTTGACCAAATATTGGAATGAGTTCCAACCCATTGCCCAGCCAAAGCCAGAAAGATAGATAGCTGCGATGGCGCCAATACCCGCGCGTTTAGCAGACCCCGTAATGCCGCCTGTATCAGCATCAACATGCGCCGAAGCAGGAACCTTGGCCAGGTAAATGGCAATATAGCAGATTGAAACGGTTTGCAATAGGATTCCCGTGTAAAGGGAGCGACGACGGCCGAAGAAATCAACGAGGAAGAATGCACAAATGTAGGCGGAACAAAACTTAACAACACCAAGGATGCATGTGGCGAAAAGCTGTTCGCTTCTGCCAGTTTTACCAAGTGCAGCGAAGAAGCTGGTTGCGTAAATGGTAATTGCTGACGCGCCAGACCATTGCCCGAGTAGCTGCGACATAATGCCCAGCATCAAACGGTAGCGGTTTGCCGGGACCGTGACAAGTTCCTTTAATTTGCCGTAGAATGAAGAGCCTCGGGTGCTTTCCTGTTCCCGTTCCAGCTGATCACGGACATCGAGAATTTCAGAACTGATACTCGGATGATCGATAGGGAGCTGACGTAGTGTACAAAGATTCGTAAGAGCTTCTTCATCCTTTCCCTTCATTACAAGGAAGCGAGGACTCTCTGGGACGGTCCAAGATGCAAGGAAGATGACTCTTTAACATCCAAAAATATGTCAGTCTGCGGGATGTCATGGGACAAGTTATAGACAGGAGTTACATACCCTGCGAACATGATATGAATCGATTGCGGAATAACCCACTGAGAACGCGAAGCATCCGAGATATTCTCAGAGCAACCCCAATTCGCGAAATAGGCAACCATGACACCAAAGTACACAGCACCAGCAAATATATTTGTCAACATACCACGAATTGCCTTTGGAGCAACCTCTGCTAAATATGTCGGGCCAACCACAGTGGTCATACCAACCCCGAGGCCGGCCAAAAAGCGGCCAGCGAGAATCTGTCCAATGTTGCCAAAGCTGGTAATGACAATCACGAAGCCGATGCCCCAAAGTAGGGTGAGAGCTTGAAGTGACCTCACACGACCAATTCGATCACACAGAAGAAACGCCAACAGAGCACCGCCGATAGAGCCAAGTTGCACCATACTTGTGATAGTGGACTCGCGGTTGGCAATCTCTTCAGCAGAACCTACTTCTAATGGAAACTCGTCTTTGAAGCTTCGCATCGTGATCATGCCACCAACTAGGCCCTCGTCAATTCCTCTACCCGCTCCAAGGATACCTATAATAATTTTCTTTTTAGCAACGAGTACCGAAATTTTACCGGTATACACACCGAAGACTCCCACAGACCAAAACAGCCGATAATTGAAGACCTCCCGAGGAGTGTCGGCCAGCCCCAGACGATTGAAGAGAGGCATGCTGACTAGCACGATAAATACATGCCCTTGAAGTGCAGAGGAAAAAGCGTATTTGAGGTCTGTCGCCTGCAAATCGGGTGAAGGAATATCGGGATGATTGAATGTACACCTTTGCACCTTTATATCCTCCGGATGTGGGAAAAAGCTTGCAAGCGACAATATCCCACGCGGGGATTGACATGGATTACGAACTAGCTACACGAACTCTGGAGGCTTCGCTTCAGAGTTTCGACCACAAGAGGGGAAACGACGAATATTACGCTGCTACATCTGCCGACAACGCCCGCGGATTGGTCTGCTCGTGGGAATGAAGGTGCGAAGGTACTAGTAACTGAAGGGATCAGATCCCTTACTGAGCCAAGACAGCCAACGACCCCCCCTGTACAATCCAGAGTGACCAAAGAGATAATGTCTTTTTTCAGACTATGCCGAGTCGGCCTAGTCAATGTAGAGGGGGTTCAACGGAAGTTGACCGAGTATACGAGCTACTGCGATAACATGGCGTATAATTTCCATAGTTACTGCTATGTCCTCGACTTGGCGATGGGGATCCTAATAAAAATACGCGATGAGATTTTCCGTGGAGATTGGGGAACTTGCAGGGATGTTAATCTGGGGAAGGGGTGTCCTTCGGAGGTTGGCCGAGAAGAGTAACCACCTCAGCCCCAAAGGCTTCGTTGTAAATTTTCCTTGGCAGCTGTTGTCTCCCAGTGTGTGTTTCTTACTCTGGGATATGAAGCAACGTTCAGGATACAGCTGATGTATTTGATGGCCTTTCTATTTCTCACTATGATAGTTTTTGTCTCCCATTGGGAGGGTGGGTGTTATGACCTCGACTTAGCGAGACCAGTCTCATAGCTAAATAAGTTAAGAGCTTATTTGGCTAAGACTTATGGATTTGGCAGCGGCACATTTGGACATATAGCTGAAGCAGCAGACATAACCATACATCTACAGCCTTTCACTAACAAAACCACACAATCTTGACCATGCCATTTCTTTTGAGTCCTCCATGAGCACATCAAACATTGTTCTTGTCCAGTCTTCCATCTATGGCAATGATAAGTTTCTTCCTGCTGGATGCCCGTGGGGCCGTTACCTTTGACGTGGCATCAACCTCCCCTTCCCAGCTGCACAAGTGGCATGGAATGGGTCCTCGAGGAATACGAGTAGATCTCCAGTCAAACGACAAGTCTTTGACAGACAGTCTACGCACAGACCCGAGACTCATACACTCTACCAGGATTCCAGTCTTTGGTGGGTCTCCGAAAAAGGAAGCACCTTCGTGAAACTTTCCGCACCGTACAGAATCAGCAACCTGCATGATATCAGTGATCTAGAGCGTGTTGCCACTGAGATATTGAAAGTTGCAGGAAATATTCGAGTTGTTTTTGCAACTGATTGGCCCCACACAAGATTTGGAGAGGTGGGTATCGACCCATGGGTAGGAATAGTGTTTGACTGGTGTAGAAAGGATCCTTTCCTGGTGGAGCGATTATTCAAAGGAAATGCGGAGGCATGTGGGTATAGAGGGATAGTGGAACAAGTGGTTATCAGGTACTGACGTTATGCCTGGGGAATATAATATAGCGTTCATCTCACCAGGCCTCGTTTTTGACTTGGAGAGTTCGGTGATTTTATGTCTTCTTTGGATACTGATTTAGCTTTATTTCGTTGAGATAAGCCCCCTTATAGCTGTAAGGACAACGCTTCAAACAACAGTGTCCTATTTGAGATCATCTAGATTGGATTGATCAAAATTTAGTGAATAATTTCTCCTATAGCAGATTTGTAAACTCGGGCGACGAAAGTGAGACCTCAAATCAGAAACAAGGAATGTTTAGTCAAACAATAGATCTGTGAGTTCCCCAGCTAACTTTCCCAGCTATGTCCAATTAGTGCTTATCCGAATTGGTCATACCATCAATCTTGGCCCGACAGTTTTGGAACAATTCAGCCAACTGCTCAGGAGTCCTGCCAGTTTGCGGAACATCCACACCCTTCTGCACAGCAGGACGCTGATTAATCTCGTCAACCCACTTCTTCAGCGCGGGGAATTCGGACAAATCAATCTCCAAAGAGACAGGAGCATTTCGAACCCAGGAAAAGTTCGCAATATCAGCAATAGTGTACTTTGAGCCTGCGAGGTAAGGGCTCTCTTTGAGGCGAGATTCGAGGACAGAGTAAAGTCGCTTCGTCTCTTCGATGTATCGGTTAATACCATAGTCGGAGCGCGCGCCAGCGAAAAGACGGAAGTGGTTGGCTTGACCTATTGAATATTATTAGATAGGTGTGGTAAGATGGCTTGATCTGTCAACACGCACCCTGCATAGGTCCAAGACCGCCCATCTGGAACATCAACCAGGAGGTCTGTTCGACATGCTCAGGGGTTCCCGGGGCGTAGCTGATCTTGCGATCGGTGTCGTACTTGTCGACCAGATAGATCATAATCGCACCGCTCTCGAAGACACGCTGTGAGCCATCGAGGAGAGCGGGGATTCGGCCGTTGGGGTTAATCTTTAGGAACCAGCTGCAAGGTAACTCTTATCAGCATGTTGTCACAATATGCTTTCTTCGGGATCTTACTCTTCCTTCTGAACATTGGTGCTGATGTTAATTCCCTCAGTCTTGTAAGGAAGACCGAGTTCCTCGAGGGTAATGGAGGCCTTGATGCCATTAGGCGTGGGCCAGGTGTAGAGCGTGATGTTAGAAGACATTGTGGAATAAGGAGAAAATGTAGATGAAACCTTGGGGAGTCGAGATGCTGCTCTTAAGCTGCGAGAGAACATTGGGGGAAAGATAAAGCTGCTTGCAAAACAATTCCGCTATATACTTCCGCGTCCATTTGTCAGCTCCCACGGACTTCGGAGCTATCGGTCGGCTATGACGTCACCTATCTAAACACAAGTACATGTATATGATTTGCACCTTGCACCTATTTGTAATCAACCATGGGAGTTGTAACTGATTGAATACAGTATGTAATTGATATATGTTACCAAAGCAAATGGATTGACCCTGTTTTAGATACAAAATACCCGATAGACGGTGAGCCCCTCCATATGTGTCGAGTTGGATGCTGCCACGAGAATCTGCTTTCTCATACTCCTTGATTGCCTCTCGAAGCTTCATGGTCTGTGCGACATCAGCGTGTGGTGCGCGAACATCATAGAACTCGGGATCATACCTCGTCTTCGGCAAATTCGGCGTAGTGCATGTCTTGCAGGAAGCGTAACTGAGACACGTCATATTATCAGGGATACCTTATATCGCGTACCTTGTACTTGTGTTACTTTTTCCTTAACACTACATTCAGTACAGGTTGGGAAGGTCCGCGATGGACGAGAAACAGAGATCAGCAACCCATAGCTTCAATTAGAAAGACGCGCGCACACCTTTGCGATTTCGGACCAGCTTCGGCCTGCCTCGCTGGTGATTACACGATCGGAGCTCCGGCAAACCACCACACCATGCCTTCGGTGGGTTTGCCGTTATGCCAGTGTGCATGAGAGGCGTCGGCATACGCCATGAATCGGAGGTCAGCCATCTTGCCGAGAATAATGCCAATATCGTCATATCGCTTCAGGTATCGGAGTCCGTATCATATCTCTGTAGTCTTTGTACGTAGGTTTTGAGGATCTGTTTTGGAGCTTCATCGTAATGAGGCGGAGGTCCGGTCTTGTCTTCACAGCTAGTCAGTTAAGAGACCAGAAGAGAGAGATGTATCTCTCATGACCTTCCTCTTCGGATAACGCGGCCTGATAGTTTTTGGGGTTGCCTCACGGCTCCCCAGAGGAGCTCAGGACGTACTCATTCGTGGAGCTCGCGCTAATGACGTGGTCGAGCTCCCCCTCGATAAGCGCGGGGTCGGCAAAGACCAAATTGAAGCCGACCCTAGACTCTTCCATTCGGCCAGGGACGCCCTTGGCTGCTATATTGGTTTCTGATATGTATGTGCTAGTAATGTCAGATTCCGAACAGAACTTGGTACATTATAACGTAAATCTTAAGAAATAGAGAGATATGAAAGAAACACAGAGATATTTATGTAAAAGGGAAAGCTATAGGGGGGAGAGACAGAGAGTCGGGCAAGAGAGATACAAAAAGGATCGAATAGAAAACAATGGGGACGCGAGGTTTGGTGTTGAGGCTCTTCAAATAGTGGGGCACACTCCGAAACCTAATCCAGGCCCCACCTTGGGACAGACCATGGATACATCCTAGGTCACTACTTTCTATTTCATTGAAACTAGACACTGTAAAGCATGACACTGCGAGGAGCACGAGAAGAACTAGAGGGTCGAAAGAGGTCAATACTGTTGGATCCTTGGCAAGAAAAGACAAGGGATAGACCAGAGGGGATCCAGGAGATCAACAGCAAGAGTGATTGATTTCTCAAGGTAACACCGAGTGAGATGCTGCAAGAAGCGGAGAGGAATACAGGGGAGCTTTGGAAGATGACTGGGCTTCAGCCACACGTGCGCAGGTCATTCGGCGGTTTCCGTTTCGGGAGGGTTGTCAACGTGGAACCCATTTTTGCCCACAAGGAATGAACCCAGGAGGAATCTATGCTAGCCTTCAAGCTTCGAAAGAGTGGAAAATAATTCCAGCATGTTCCCGTACATTAGTGCTAGCTCAGGTACGAACTTCCAGAATGTCGACCAAAAAGGGGAATATTTGTGAATAGCATCAAGGTCTACCCGTCAGACCAAAAGAAAAAAACATGAGATAGTAAAAAATGGGCCCTAGCTCTCTTTTGTAATAGGTGACAGCACAGCTAAATCAAACCAGGTCTAAACCTGCTGTGAGGGAGGGGAATCCCGCCGGGTCAGGAAGAATGCTGTAACGCCGGGCTTGGACGTTAAAGCATCGCACCGCACCGATATCTGTAAATGAATACAGAAATCGCCTTCCATATGGCTCGAACCCGGGAGCTCTCCTCACAACCGTATCGAAACTACTTTCGGACGAATCTCAAAGTAGCCCGCACTATACCGCTGAGCCAGCGGGGCAAGAGTTACCACGTACCTCCTGTATCCTGCTGGTAACGGGGCTTTGGCTACGTTTGCACGCTATGCATTGCTGCTCGATGTGTCTTTTCTCTGTCCTCGTTTCTCTGCTAGCTCGCATATTATCATCCCTCCCCCTCTGCACAGGTTGATATTGCGTTCTCAAGCTGCTTGGTTATTCTAGGTGACCACGAATGGGCCACCACCCGCTTTTTGGTAAGTGGAGATCTGTCACGTAGCCAACCTAATAGACCAGGTAAGCCTACATTGATTGTGATGGGTGTGCTGTTTCCTCCTATGACCCATGACCACGAAGACTTTCATGACACCATTCGAAGGACTCAAGAAGCTTCCAAAGCTGACACCAGAGAGACATACCTATGCTAGTAGCTTTAATAGGCCTGTGGTACTTTCACCACAGAGGCTATCCTTCTTCTCCCCTTAGGCGTAGGTATTACCGGTCATCTTCAAGTCATCGATCTCGTCAACGTCGGAGATCGTCTGACCCGCTCGCCCAAACGTTTGTTGCCCATCCAAGAATCAAAGATCAAGGTTTCAGCACAGTGGCTTAAGACACGTAGAGCAAGTTGTACCAAGTCCAGGGCTGTCGTTGTCTTGCCAAGCTCCTTGATTACGAATGCCTAGTGGAAGACCCGTGCTGACGCTATCGTAGATGGAACCGACCTCGGACCTCCTATCAGCGGTTTTGTCATGGTCTGCCAAGTCGTCTTTACCAGTATTGATATCTTCATCGGTGTTACAGTCGGGCGCCATGACTGGGCGGAGCTTCTCCGGGCTCATATCGCATCAGGCTCCTCAACTCCGGGTTCGTCTGACTATTTTGGACACTAGCGTGATGTTCAAGTCACACACAGAGATTAGGATGGTGTTCCTCGAGTACTATGGAGCTCATATCTTTTGACCGTGATGGCAAGCTGGGCGCCGTTGTCTGTGAAGGGGCTCGTTGTGCAATCGACGAGGCCATCAAAGAACGAGGAGAAACAATCACGCGGATAATAAAATGGGTGAAAGGATTGCCAATCGAGTGGAATGTACTTGGGTGATGTGAGGGCAAGATCAAATGTGGACGTTGTGAGCAAGATGAGACCGCAAAGAGAAGCTGTGTGGGCAATAGACGCAATGATCGAAAGTCAAGCATGTTCTTTTCACCTCAATGCAACGTACACATCAAGAAGAATAAGTGAGTACCTAGATTGTCAATCAATGTAAGAATATAGCCATCCACAATCGAGAGGGGGAAGCAGTGCAACATGCAGGCTACTCCCTTGCAGCAGGGCACACCAAACATAGAGCTATACACCGCTATCAGAGATAATAATGGATATCGTGGGCACTCACCAGAACAGTTTGTTTCTGGAGGATAGGGGATCAGCATGATACTTGGGTAGTAGAAGGACCAAGATCAAAGGATCAACCAACAATGCTACCATGCCACATCCCCATAAACTCTGTATCAAAAAGCGTCATTGAATCAAACAATCATCAATGCAGTCCCAGTTAATACCGAAATGGCTTTGCACCTGACATGTCAAATGCAGCAGTCATAGGATAGATGAGTATTCCCAGTCCGGAACCGGGGCGATATGCATAACGGACTAGCCAGTTTTCGGCATTGTCTTGCCTGGAAATAGAAAGTATGACAATGACTCGGAGATCGTTCGGTCAATGCGTCATGACTGGGGTAGAGTGAGAGATCAGTCTATCCCCAAAACCACAAAGGGTGGACGGATTGGGGTAAATCGCAGTCGATCCCCACATGGCTTTGCCACGAGCTTAGACTGCGGGATGGGGTTCCCACGAGCCTCAGCTCGCCGGAAATGGCAGCTTGCGAATGATGACGTGTTGCGGTCTTTCCATGTTCCGTTTTGGTGAGAGCAATCATTCGTCCCTTGTATGGGGAGACGTCGGCGTGGGGTATCCCGATTCAGCGCCCGTTTGAGCCTTTGCGGACGTCTAGCTCCGTAACGCTAACGGGGCACACGGCTCGCAGAATATCGGCATGATTGAGGATCGGGCACGGGCTCTTGCGAAAAAAAAAACGGCAAAAAGGTTCTCGAACAGGGACGAGAATGATCTCGCCAGGCGTCGCTCGATATTTCCCGCACGATCCACGGTTTGCCGGACTGTGACGCTCCGAAACATTCTGAGATATCAAAAGAGAAAGTGGGTTGCGGTACTGAGCTTAACCCAATGCAGATCGAAAAGTCGAAATGTACCCCGCACAACCCCGGATTTCCACTTATCTGTCACTCAAAATGGTGATACCATACATTGTAATTGTACTGTAGTTGTAGTTACCTTCTCATGTTGAACTGCCCGGATGCGGTCGAATTCATTTGTTTTCTGCCACGTGAGGGTTCAAGTCTCAAAGCCGATATTGCAGGGGTTGGCTTGAGCTAAGCCTATTTTAGCTTTAGTTAGCCACCACCACTCAAACTTTCTAGCAAATCATAGCTCAGGCCTCCTGGCAAGGCGACCTCAAAGCAGTACGTCCGGACCTTTTTGTTACACTCGATTGTGGCGTTCGGTCGCCTGGAAACGCCAGCCCGAACGCGCGGCGATCCTGATCCCGCCTTCCAACTTTTCACTGGGAAGCCCGTGGGGATTTTGGTCAGACCAGAGTCAAGTTGGATGGCTGGATGGTTGAATGGCTTGCAGAACTCGAATATGCATACCTTTTGCCGCATGAGCAGTTGGGAGAAATGCTGAAGCGTAGAAAATACTCGGCCAAATTAAGTTTACCCTCGGCCTCAAAACGGGCTTGACTTTCTTGACCGGGATCCCGGTTGACTTGGAGCGCCACAGCGAAAACATTTTCACGGGCCAGATGCAAGGCAAGTGGACCACTTCGCTCCAGATGGGCTTTCAGTGCCGATGTAGCATTCATAAGGGTGTCCGGGTCAAACTTCCTGGAATCGAGATTTCCCCATGGGCACCCCGCAACACCCCGGATATCCGTTTTGGGAAGTAGATCTGACATATCTCAACCCATGGATTTAGTCTAGCGGCACAAGAGGCTACCTTGGATGAGTATAAAGGTGGGGATTTTCCCTCAACATGGTACAGTCACTGTGAATCTCCTTTTCATCCAGGCACTACTTCTGAAGTGGTTGAACAGTGACTATTCCAGTTCTTTTCTTTCTTACCCCAAAGCTATACGAGGAACACGAGTTCAACCTTGTCCACTTTGAAGGACTTGATTCTCCCTAGAGGTGAACCTAAGTTTGGTATCCTCAATTTCCAAAATGGAGAAAGAGAGCATCAGCCAGGTGGGCAGCGACCACCGGTGAGTGTTGCAGATATAACTCACACATCTTAATACTGATCTTTCCTCTAGCTCGAGCAACGATGAAAGCAGTGCCGAGAAAGGATACGTCCAGCAAGTCGACCTTCACAACAATGTGTCCGCCAAGTATGTTCACCTAAGTACTCGCTTGCAACAATGCCACACCAAGCATCAAATAACTAATACCATGCAGGATCAAGAACCCACTGGCCGACTTGACCAAAAGCCAAGTCCTACGCGACGTCGAGCAGTTTGCCCAGGAGTTCAACGTGACGGACATTCTACCAGAACTACAGAAAGGAGCCCTGGTAGCCCGCTCTCCCACTGAGTTCGAGTCAGTACCAGACTTGACCGAGACCGAGCTGATCGCACTGCGTGACGAGACCCTTCACAAGTGGCGCCAGCCCAGGGCCCTCTACTTCACCATCATTCTCTGCTCCATTGGAGCAGCAGTGCAAGGCTGGGACCAGACTGGCTCTAACGGCGCAAATCTCTCATTCCCCGATGCATTTGGTATCCCCGAAACGGACAATCCTAACGCCTATCGAAACCAATGGATTGTCGGTGTCGTTAATGCTGCTCCTTATATTGCCAGTGCTGTCCTCGGCTGCTGGCTCTCTGATCCTTTCAATCGCATTCTTGGCCGCCGTGGAACAATCTTCATCTCTTCTATCTTTTGTGTCCTTGCACCCATTGGCTCAGCAGTAACCCAAACCTGGGAACAACTCTTCGCGACTCGTCTGCTTCTCGGACTTGGAATGGGACTGAAGGCGTCAACAATCCCAATCTTTTGCGCCGAGAATACACCAGCTGTTATTCGCGGCGGTCTAGTGATGTGCTGGCAACTCTGGACAGCATTTGGTATTTTCCTCGGATTCAGCGCAAACCTTGCGGTTAAAGATACAGGTGCTCTCTCATGGCGCCTGCAGCTGGGCTCGGCCTTTATTCCCGCTGTCCCCCTCCTTATCGGTGTTTTCTTCTGTCCTGAGTCACCTCGCTGGTATATCCGGCGCGGCGAAATGGACAAGGCGTACCGATCTCTCTGCCGTCTCCGTAATACGCCCCTGCAGGCTGCTCGTGATCTTTACTACATCCACGCCCAGATCAAGATTGAGATGGGATTGATTGGCGAGAGCAACTATGTCAAGCGCTTCGTCGAGCTTTTCACTATTCCCCGTGTTCGCCGTGCAACTCTTGCTTCTTTTACTGTTATGATCGCCCAGCAGATGTGTGGTATTAACATTGTGGCCTTTTATTCATCCACTGTCTTCTCCAATGCCGGTGCAAATGACACCCAGGCTCTCTTTGCTTCCTGGGGCTTTGGCTTGGTCAACTTCTTATTTGCTTTCCCTGCCATCTGGACGATCGACACTTATGGCCGTCGGACTCTGTTGCTATTCACCTTCCCGCAGATGACATGGACACTGCTTGGTGCTGCATTCTGCTTCTGGGTACCCGAGGGAAAGGCCCATTTGGCGTCTATTGCGTTCTTCGTTTTCTTGTTTGCTGCATTCTACTCGCCTGGTGAAGGGCCTGTACCTTTTACATATTCGGCCGAGGTCTTTCCCCTCTCTCATCGTGGTATGTATTATATCTTTCTGATTGGTTCATCGAGATACTGACCCTTGATTATAGAGGTCGGCATGTCTTGGGCTGTGGCAACCTGTCTAGGATGGGCAGCTGTGCTATCTATCACATTCCCTCCTATGCTTAACACAATGACAGCCACCGGCGCATTTGGCTTCTATGCGTAAGTTTTGAACTTTCTGCTTGGTGCTATCATACAGGACAAGGCTAATGCTCGCTCTTTAGTGGTCTAAATGTAACTGCGCTCATCATGATCTTCCTCTGGGTCCCTGAGACAAAGCAGCGCACCCTCGAAGAGCTCGATTACATCTTTGCCGTTCCTACGCGCGTTCATATGAAGTACCAGGTTACCAAGGCGCTTCCTTACTGGTTCAAGCGCTATATTTTCCGCAGGAATGTTGTGCTGGAACCTCTTTATAAGTTTGATACCGTTGCCAGTGGTGACGAGGTCGTTGAGGGAGTGCAGACGACTAGTGTCGTATCTGAACATGAGAAGTCGTAATTTGGACTTGGCCCTAGTGTTAATGTTTTATATGATTTTTTTCTCTTAGTCCTGGTGCTAGTCTTTCTGTGAGCTTCCTGGATTTAGTTGAGCAGTAACTAACTACAAATTTTGGCCATCATGACTGGAGTACCTGGTATTGCTTTTAAATCTGTTGAAGAGACTGATATCAAGTCTTACGGTTTGTATGAGACTCCACTGGTTCGACGGATCCATGGTTGCCGGGGAATCAGGTGATGTGGAGCATGATGACAGTTGAGCATGACCTTTGCTGTATACTCAGCTGAGGTATACAAAAGGAATGTAAAAGACAAGAGTAAGGTTCTTGGGTCATGAACACGAAGTCACTTGGCACTTTATCGCAGCTAAGCAGGCAACATTAAGGTGTATCACGTGGGGTTCGGGGTTGTCTGCGCAGACGTGATATGTTTTGGTCCACTTCCGCCCCTCATCTTCCCTCAAGCTCACAGGGGTCCTGACTTTCTTTCTTTCCTGTCTCCCCATACAGGCGCTCTGTTCGGCATTCCTTGGTCATTCCTACCTCAACCTTGCGATCGTGGACTTCAACTTATTGTTTTCCGCACCTGATACCCCCCACCGGTCTCCAGAAAGCCACATCGCCGTCATCGTGACCCTCCTTTCGAACGGCCTCCCAATACAAACACCAGCAGCTGCAGTGGAGCTCAGAGGACTACTGTGGGCTGCTGGATTCCTCCGAGTCGAAACCCACACCTTGACCGCCTCCCTATAGCCTAACGCTCACCTCTCAAGAAAAAAATAAAATTAAAGAAAGAAGCTCTCCGCTTGTTCTCTATCCGGCGTCAAACCCTTTTCTTCTCCCTGCCCGAATCCTTTGTATTTCTTAGCGGGGCAATCCTGGCCCTTGCACCTGCGTCGGACTCTTCCTCTTCATAGTACGGCCCACCACTTACCCCTCCCACAATGCCTTGTTTCAAGGGTCTCGCCGTGAGCATCCATACGCCCGATGGGCCGATTTCAGAGTATTCGATTCAACGCCAGTCCCGAGCTTCGCGGATAGCTTGTTTCATCCCCGTCCCTCCGCCCAAACTCCCCGAATCGGGGACCGGCAAGGCGGAACAATCAACCTTTGCTATTTCAATCACCCTCCTCAACCCCGGCCAAGATGTTCCCTACTCGACCCCAAAGCCGACCGCAGACACTCCCTCGCCGAAACCAAAGGTCGTCGGTGGGTTGCCCGGTCAGACCGGTGATCGTGGTCAATACTCCGGAGCGGTCGCACCCTACCAGGCCCTGACGAACTCGCCGAACGAGACTGTTGCTGCATACATCTACTTCGACGGCAGGCAAAAGGAAGAAGTGGCTACACTACTGCGAAGGGGCGAAGAGACCTGGGTCAACTCGCGCTGGGTCAGTGTGCCGAACACCGAAGGCGGGGGCATTGCCGAGCGTGAATTCCTGTTCCGCGAGGTCGGTCTGGAGCGCTGGCTGAATGGACTAGATTTGGAAGGTAAGGATGCGGCAGCCAAGATTGAACGGCGCCGGCAAAAGATGGAGAAGCGACGCATAAAGCGTGAGGCCGAGGAGAGTGAGTCCGCCATGGAGATGGAAGCCAACCACCCCGCCAAGGCCAAGAGCATTATGCGATACGGAAATGATGAGAAGTCGCCTCTTGAGGATGTTTCGGACGATGATTTGTCTTCCGACTCTGACGACGACGACCCTATTCCGGAGACAGCGGGACAGATCAAGGTTGCTTTGTTCCGAGTCCTGGCTTCGGGGGAGATCAAACGTGGAGAGTACTCGCCTCAGTTTGATGCACATGACGACGAGGAGGGTGGTGGAGAGAACAATGGCGGTGGTGATGCCGATGTTGACCACACGACGAGTTTCGCCAAACCCAAAACACTCGATCCTAAGACAATCAGCACGCAGACAGTCACTGGCATTGACCCGACTGATAAGCCCTATGCAATTTTCACTTTCATGTACCGAGGCGAACGTGAGTATTCCTTGTGTCTTTACTGTTGGATATTTTTAACATGTAGACAGGCCAACTGCAAAAGATGGGCATCTTGAAAGATTGCAAGGCACCCGAAACGCCTGCTGCCACGAAGCGCAAGTCACTACAAGCGGATCTCGCAAATCTTGGACCTATCAAGGCTGGCGGATCTGTCGGATTCTTCAATTTCCGGGAAGAAGCCAAGCTGCGCAAGGGCAAGAAGAGCGAAGATGACATGGATAGCGATGACGATGATACGGACAATCCCATTCTTGGAAAGGCCGACGAAGAAGAATCCAAGGATGACGACCGTTTCTTGTCTCCGGATGATATTAAACGCCAGGGAGAGCTGGCAGAGAGCATGCGAAAGATTCGGGTAGGTACCACACCAACTATGCATGTGTTTGTCGCTAACAATTACATAGCTCAAGCGTCAACATTCTGCCGAACCACCTGGAGGCAGTGCCGGAGATTCTACAGATACCCCGGCTTCTGGATCCGGATCTACGCCCCCGGCCGAACGCTCAACAACACCGCCCAAGGGCGCTGCTACAGCACCAGCGCCTTCCGACTCTCAACCCGCCGCGGAATTGTCCGATGGGCTCTTTGGCAGTCCGTTGAAGAAGCAGCGTGCCAGTGTCTCGACAGCAGATGAAAACGCCCTGAGACGTCGAATCGCCGAGTCCTCTGGTCGAATCAACGAAGTTCTGGGGCCTTCGGCTCCCGAGTCGAAGTCAACTTCCACCGCGACATTCGGGGACAGTCTCAGTCTCACACCTGAGATGTCAGCAGGACCTCCCGTTGAAGAGGAACTGTAGATCGATGAAACAAGGGCGAATATGCTTTTGCTGTTGAGCTCTGGAAAGCACTCGTATTTGCCAGGGGTTGAGTTGGACCATTTTCGCCATATACCTAGCCATGTGAATGCTGTTGCTTTCTTTTACAATTACGCCGTTATGTCCACTACCTACACTACAGGGAGCACGCCGAAGGAGAATACATTTGCTGCATCCATTCAGAGCAGCTTGATTATACATCACCCAAATTACTCTGTAAATTTCAAATTCAATTTCGTAGATTTGAATTTCAGCCCTACACCGTTTACCGTTTTCTCCAAATTTCATCCTCGACTGTTTTCTCCCACCTTCAAACTTTCTCCTTTCAAACTACGACAACCTATCCATGTTCAGAAGCTGCAAACACGCATTGTCTACACTACGGGTAGCTCAAACCGGTAGCTTTCCCCACCGAGTCCACCATCCCGCAAAACACCAAAACCTCAGATCATTCACAGCACCCCAAACCAACCCAATCCGCCCAACAACCATGTCACTTGCGCGCTCCAAAGATCCCTTAGTCTGGATTGACTGCGAAGTACGTCCCAATCCCACCCGCCGATACATACATCCATATCCCAAACCCCCACTAACCAAGCCCAGATGACAGGCCTCGACGCCGAAACCGATCAAATAATCCAAATCTGCTGCTTCATAACGGACCACAACCTAAACCTCCTCGACACTACCCCCTTCGAAACAACCATCCACGCTCCAGACACAACCCTCATGAACATGTCGAAATGGTGCATCGACACGCACGAACGCACGGGCCTCACGGCCGCCGTGCGCGCCTCGACCACGACCGCCACCGCCGCCGCGGACGCCCTCCTTGCCTACATCACCGCTCACGTCCCCACGCCGCGCACTGCCCTGCTGGCCGGGAATAGTGTCCACGCCGATAAGGCGTTCCTGGTAAAGGGGCCTTATGCGAGGGTGTTGGAGCATTTGCATTATCGCATTCTGGACGTTAGTTCGTTGAAGGAGGCGGCGCGGAGGTGGGCGAGTGACGAATTTTTGGCGGAGGTACCGCTTAAGAAGGGGGTCCATCTTGCTAAGGATGATATTTTGGAGAGCATTGAGGAGATGCGGTTTTATCGGGATCGGTTGTTTGGTAGTGTTGTTTAGTTGGATGGGGGTCTACTTGCGCGCTATTGTTTTATGTCTTAGACAGTGTGTCTATTTCTGTAGTTGTTGGGTTTGGGGGATTTGACCCCTTTTTCCTTAGGTTTTGTGTTTGTTGGTTGAATACCCATTGCCATTGCCATTGCCATTGAGACTTGTGTATCGTGTACTTCGGAGTGTTTTCGTGGCACATTGGGACTGTTCTCCCCTCTGGGGATGATCTGCGGGGCAATTTGCAAGGGTTCAACAGGTTTCTATGGACATGAGAGAGTGTAGATCGAAAGGAGCTGGATACGACTTATTTTAAAACCGGTAGAAAATGTAGGAAGTGGATGTACCTGTACCTAGTACTAACTTAGTACTAGTAGTATGTAGCTATGTTCTAGTGGGATGATAAACACATGACGACCCCTCCCGTCATTCGGTGAACTTCCCCTCCTTCTTTCTCTCTACACCTTTTTCTTCCAATTCATTCCATCATGTCCGTCCAGACGGTGTCTATCCAGCCTTTCACTGACCAGAAGCCTGGAACGTATGTTGTTTGCTACCCTGCAATTGATCCAGCTAACCTTCTCCCAGCTCCGGCCTTCGCAAGAAGGTCAAGGTCTTCCAGCAACCCAACTACTCTGAGTCCTTCATCACTAGCATTCTCCTCTCCATCCCTGAGGGTGTTGAAGGCTCCTTCCTTGTCATTGGTGGCGATGGCCGTTACTACAACCCCGAGGTGATCTCCAAGATCGCAAAGATCAGCGCCGCCTACGGTGTCAAGAAGCTCCTGGTGGGACAGAATGGCATTCTCAGCACTCCCGCTGCTAGCAACCTCATCCGCGTGAGGAAGGCTACTGGTGGTATTCTGCTCACCGCCAGTCACAACCCCGGTGGTAAGTAATGGAGACAGCCTTGATTGTTTGGACGCTGACTGACACTACACAGGCCCCGAGAACGACTTCGGTATCAAGTACAACTTGAACAACGGAGCCCCTGCCCCCGAGACTATCACCAACAAGATCTACGAAACCGCCAAGTCCTTGACCTCCTACAAGTACGCTGACGTGCCTGATGTCGACACCTCCAGCATTGGCACCAAGAGCTACGGCTCCCTCGAGGTGGAGGTCGTCCACTCCACCGCCGACTACGTGACCATGATGAAGGAGATCTTCGATTTCGACCTCATCAAGGAGTTCCTCAGCTCCCACAAGGACTTCAAGGTCCTCTTCGACGGTATGCACGGTGTCACCGGCCCCTACGGCGTGGACATCTTCGTCAAGGAGCTCGGCCTGCCCGCCAGCAGCACCATGAACTGCGAGCCCAAGCCGGACTTTGGCGGCGGTCACCCCGACCCCAACCTGGTGTATGCACACGAGCTCGTCGAGGCCGTCAACAAGAACGGCGTGCACTTCGGTGCCGCCAGTGACGGCGACGGTGACCGTAACATGATTTACGGTGCCAACACCTTCGTCTCCCCCGGTGACAGCTTGGCAATCATCGCCCACCACGCAAAGCTTATCCCCTACTTCCAGAAGCAGGGCGTACACGGCCTGGCCCGTTCCATGCCCACCTCCGGAGCTGTTGACCGCGTGGCCCAGAAGCAAGGCTTGCAGAGCTACGAGGTTCCCACTGGCTGGAAGTTCTTCTGCAACCTGTTCGACAATAACAAGATCTCGATCTGTGGCGAGGAGAGCTTCGGCACTGGTAGCAACCACATCCGTGAGAAGGACGGCGTGTGGGCTGTGATCGCCTGGTTGAACATCGTCGCCGGTGTCGCCAAGCAAAAGCCCAACGAGACCCCCAGCATCGCCTCCATCCAGAACGAGTTCTGGCAGACCTACGGCCGCACGTTCTTCACCCGCTACGACTACGAGAATGTCGACAGCGATGGTGCCAACAAGGTCGTTGGCACCCTGTCCGACCTCGTCGCTAGCGGCTCCTTCGTCGGCTCTGAGATCGCTGGCCGGAAGGTCACCGACGCCGGCAACTTCTCCTACACCGACCTTGACGGCAGTGTCTCCAAGAACCAGGGCCTGTACGCCAAGTTCGATGACGGCAGCCGCATCGTCGTTCGTCTGTCCGGTACCGGCAGCAGCGGCGCTACTATCCGTCTGTACGTGGAGCGCTACGAGGCTGACCAGTCCAAGTTCGGTCTCACTGCCCAGGAGTACCTGGCTGACAACATCTCGCTTGCTCTTAACCTGCTTAAGTTCAAGGAGTATGTTGGCCGTGAGGAGCCTGATGTTAAGACTTAAGTTGGAGGTTGTAATGTGGAACCTGCTGGATGGGGATCACCTTTAATTGTTTTGCCGTTCCGTCTGAACGAGAGAAATGATGATCGAATAGCAGAATTTAAAAGTATATCAAGGATGGCATGACATAGAGACTGTTGCAGTATAATCTGAGCCTCTTACGAGCTTGGACCTTGGTCATTGTAGTTTATAGATCACCATCATTCATATCTCATCATCATAAATCATAAATCATACCACAATCCATCTCACTCCCAACCATCAGCAGAAACCCTCAATTTCTCCCCCCACCACTCCCCCCATCGAACAACCCTCTCCCCCCTCCTCGCCTCCTCCGCCGCAAAAACAACAGCATGACTCCGAACCGCCTCTTCAAGCGTACAACCCACAAACCTCGCCTGCGCCTCCTCAACCTCAACCCCCAAAACCTCAACCGCCTCAACAGCACTAACAAACTGCCTCGCAAGCCCATAATCCCCACCACCATGCGACTCCTTCCTCTCCGGAGGCGGCTTGGGCACATCAATAACGGTTGTCTCCCCACTGGCAAAATCATAGATTGAGATGCTATGACTGTCATACGCGATCTCACCCTTCGTTCCATAGACCCGACCACGTCGTTCACACTGTTTCTCCGTTGGCGCTATCATATGGAACGAAGCTGTTTTCGCGAGGCGGTGCGGTGCGCCTTCCTCGTCGTCCCAGGTTATTGTCACGACCTGATCGTCGCAGACGTCGTTGTCTGCTTCGTAGACGCAGCGTCCATACCATGGTCTCGAGGCGATTGTTGAGTCGGGCGTGGTTGTATCGTAGTCTTCGGCCAGACGGGCGAGGAGGTGTGATTCAGCGGCCTTGGAGCCCTGGACTCGGAATACATCTTCTATATCTGGCGCGACGATGTCGACGGGCCAGGCTGTGTGTCCTGTTGATAGGTGGCGGTCGTTGTAGATTCGGACTGCGCTGTAGTTGCATGTTCGTTCGATTGGGCAGGTGAGGCAGTTTGTTGCGGTGCCTGCTGCTTTTGGTTTGCGGGCTCGTCGGAATTGGGTCATTGTTCCGGCTGAGGAGATGGTGCGGGGGAAATGCGGTTTGTGGGGGTTTTCTGCGGCGGTTGTTTCCGGGGATAGTGGGGAACAGAGGAGCCAGAGGATGAAGTCGATGTCGTGGCAGGATTTCGTGAGGAGGGAGCCATCTCCTGCTGAGGTGGTACGGCGCCAGTTGCCGCGTACGTAGCTGTGCGAGAAGTGCCACCAGCCTACTGGTTCGCAGTGTTCTAGGGAGACTATGTCGCCGATAATATTGTCTGTTAGGAGGAGTTTGCGCAGGAGGATGTTGTGTGGGCTGTAGCGGAGGACGTGGCCGATTGAGAAGATGTTGGATGGAGCTCGGGGTGTTTTGGTTTCGCCTTCTGGTGGTTGCAGGGTTCGGTAGACGGTTAGGCAGTCGTCTAGGGAGAGCGCTAGTGGTTTTTCGCAGAGGATATGGAGTTTGAGAGGGGCCAGGGCTTGGACAATTCCAACGTGTGTTTCGTCTAATGTGCAGATGAAGACGCCGTCTACGCCTGGAGGTATGTTTCCACTTGCGCCTGTCTCAGCGTTCTGTGCCTGTGCCCGCCGCTTGGTCTCCCATTGCACCCATTCGCGCCAGTCTGCGAATTGTTGACCTTCGCTTGGGGTTCCCTCGCCCCAGATGTAGTTTCGTCCGAATTCACTCCGCTTGAACGGGTGGGGTTCGGCGACAGCGTGGATTACGCCTGGTGTTGCGGTTGTGACGGCGCGGGCGTAGGCATTTCCACGGGATCCGGCGCCGATGACAAGGAAGCGGAGCTGCTTTGGCGTGGAGGAATCGGCAATGGTGTCGGTAGGGGGTGGAATCGGTTCTTTCATGTTTGGATGAAGGGATGTGGGGATAATTGGAGCTGAATTCAGGGTGTTGGGGTTGGTTTATGGAAAAATGCCGATGAATAGACTCAACTGACTCTGATCAAATCAATATTTAGAGTCAAATAAGCCAGAGCAGCCATATATATAGCCCAACGCGAGTCTCAGAGAGACGTTACAGTCGGCGTGTTACATGCGGGGAAACATCAGCAACATCGGCTGGACCCTGATTGGCTGCAAATATAACTTCATTGTATATTCCGTATTCTCTACTCTATATCGTCTCTTTTCTACTGTCTGTATTCTCTTCCTCGCTCTCGTCAAAAATCGTCGCTACCTCTTCCAAAGACCGGCCCTTCGTTTCAGGGAATAGGAAGTACACAATCCCCAGGAATACGACCAGACAGCCTATATAAACACAATAATATTTCCACTGAAGCGCAGTAAACGCCACAGGATTCACGTATTGGTTGAAGAAGCATGCAGCAGCATCGACCGACAATGTAACCGCAAGACCCTTGGCACGCAGTTGAAACGGTAGGATCTCAGCCGGATACGAGATGAAAAGAGGCGCATACGCCATGTCGTAGAAGCCGAAAAAGATAAACAGGAATGGCACCACGGCTATCCCTGCAGCCGCGAGGTGCTGCTCCGCGAATAAACCAGCAAGCAGTGTGGCAATGGAGAGAAATAGCAGCATTCCTGCCGTGGACAAGAGCCAGAGGATACGACGACCGTATCGCTCCGAAGCCACCGCTCCTGCGGCTGAGAGGAGGAAGTTCCAAGCTTGGAGACTCACGTTTACGGCGGCTTGGTCCGCTGCTTTGGTAATCCCCACTGAGCTGAGGATTGGTGCGAGGTAATATGATAGGATCCCTGGATA